TTCCATTCTGCCACAGGCCTATTATCAGAGCCCTGGGCCTTTTGTTTATTGAGAAGTTATTTAATTGGAAAGTTTAGGCATGGTAGACAGTGGACAACGACTGACGAAACATGATGGCTATAGGTCATCCTGACCCTTCGGTTCAGATGACTTAAAAACTTTCGAGTAATGAACAGCAATATTTAGCAGAATTTGTTACATACCATATCCATTTTCATGTAGGCTCCCTTTGCATGTGTAAGACAGAACTTATTTGTAAACTGCTTTTAGCTTGCTATTTTAAATTTGCTGGTTCTACAAAAATGAAGGGGGTTTATTAGTGGGCAGAAATTTATTTCAAGATAAGTATGGTATTCCTTTTCTGTGTTACAATTTTAATAATGAGAGTTGAAAATGTATCATCAACACCTTGCACATTCTTGACAGGAATTTTACATACTGAGCATATTGAAATGCTGCAAACTTGGAAACTCATCCATCCATAGTCAAGTCAAAGGAAATATACTGGTTATCTACAAATAGCCTTATCACATTTTTCTTCCTTTTGATTAAAATCTTATGACCGTTTCAATGCTTGCAAGTGATTTTTCATCACAAGGTTGAATTCATGCAAGATACCATCTGCATTTGCAGCATTTTGCTGTTTGAAAATACTTTAATCATTGATATTTTTGGTATTAACAACTTGAAAAGTAAAATTAACTCCATTGAATGTTGTCTTTTTTGTGTATAAAATTTTTCATGGTGGGGTAAAAGTTCTCCACCAAATGGTGCTGGACATAATGAATATATACAAAACACTAGAATTTCTATACAAAACTGTACTATATATACTGACCTTGATCCTGGTTTATTCAAGACTGTTGCATGAAGGAATGACAACAGATACATAAGATATTCAAAAATTATAATATAGACAAGTGGTCAAAATTAAGTATTAACAACATAAAGAGGCATGCATTTCAACAGTCATGTTAAATGCCTGTGCCAGGTTTGACAATGTTAATAAAAAGTTGGTAACAAATGCTTTCACAATAAAATTTTTATTAATCCTTTGTCTACAAACTCTTCCTCAATGATGAAAAGAACATCTATTTATTGCAGGTTTCTGACTCACACTCAGCATTTCTACAAATTTGAACAGCAGAAATAACATGAAACAGTTTCAGGATTCCGACCCACATTCAGTTTATCCACAATTCTGAAGAGTGTTTTTTCATTACATCTTGAATTTCTTCCTTTTCCAAATTTTTCCACCATTAACCCTGCTTGGGTACATCGATGTGGTGTTGGCAGTATTTTTCTCTTTGTTTCCTGTTTTATTTCTTCTTCTGTTGTCCATCTTTCTCGTGTCATAGTAGCAGACTTTTGTTTTTTTATGGGCCTCAGTATGTATTCATCATCAAACACAGAAAAATCACACGGCTCAAAATGGCACCTACAATTTCATGTGATGTGGTATCGTGTAAATCCTCATATTCATCCAGTTCAGATGACTTCTGGATGAGGTCTGTAATAAAGAAATCTAATTTCTATATATAATAACAGCCACTTCAGTCATTCTATTTCTACTTAATTGTTTTAAACCAATATTGTTCAGAAAGTCATTTACAGATCTTTAGCAATGTGAAGATATATAAAAGATACTGGGGCTAGGTCATGAAGGTAAGAGGCAATTACTAAGCCTGGTGAAAACAAAATAGTGTTTTAAGGTTATTCAGAAAAGATGATGGTGGTCCAAGTAAAACTCTGCTTTCATTAGAACTATGTACTTTTCATTATTCACACTTTTAGTAATGATTCTCTGGTGTGTCAGAGCAGCAAACAATACTAGGACTGCAGATTGATGTACAGATAAAGAAAAAAAGTTTTTGAAATATTCTTTGGATTAGTGAAATTTTTTATTTATAAGTTGAATTAAAGCACCATAAATCTCCTAGAAAGGAAACAAACCTTCTATTTGGATGTCTTGTAGGGATTTGTCCGAAACTCTCCCACACGGTCTTGTAGTAGTAGTATCTTGGCTATTTGTGTTTTTTCTAAGACATCATCTGTGCACCTTAAGCATAACAATGTTACACATATTTATAAAAATCATATTTGAAATATAATCCCTATGATTGGGCAGCACAGCACTTTATATTGTCAAACGTAGAAGAATTATGGGAATTTTTTTCAAAGAAAATAAAAGTTTATATATTATTTATCTAGCAATATTTAACATCAATTTCAAAAGTCTTCCTGAAAAATATCTATGGCTGAATAAATTAATGTATTTGTTCTCACCTAATACCTGATATTTTTGTAATTAGCCAACTTTTTCGCAATTTTAAATGACATTTATATTGGTGGAGTTTCACTCAATTTTTAAAAAAAATTTTTTTGTTGAAATGACAATTATTGCCACCAACTTTTCTTGGCCAAAAGTATTGTGTTTTATCAAAATAATTGAAGTCACCTCATTTTTATCACACAAGAAAAAGTAACATAACGTAAGTTGAAGCCGGTTTTTGTAGGGAAGTAATGTAAATCCTATGCATTTAACAAGATCTAATATCACTATGAGTAAATCTACAAAAAAAGGTATAAATCAGCCCCATGAAGAAGTAGTAGAACAAAATAGAATGAAAACCTGTGTCACTTAATTTGACCAGATCACCTCACACTAAAACATTTCCTATGACTGAACCAAAATTTCCCAATGGAAACCTGGAGTGTGACATTTCCACTACTCTGCATAATGGTGAGATTTAAAAAACAAAATTAACAATGTTTAAATGGATCACAGTCTTGTTATACTGGATGTGAGAGCATCTTATTCTGTATTTCAAGTTACCTGTAACGTATCTAATGATTGTCAAGTGAGTGGCCAATATGATTGATAACCCACTCCATTTCATTTGGTTTTGGATCAAAGACCTGAAACAAAAACAGAGCATTTGAATGAATTTAAGCAATTGTGACTCTTATACTGTAGTTACTATTGAGGTTACTACTGTGGGTGCATTCATAATTGCATGTGCTGTCCGCAAGGCAAGTCAGAAAACTGGTTAGACCACAAACTGGGTGTTTCTCAGGTAAGTATTGAGCATGCAAGGTATTTTGTCAGGTACCCTTCTTGGACAGTAGAATCAATGTGTTAGGCTTCAATGTATTGACGGAGTACTATTGGGAGGGTTGTGTGCCTACTTCCAGATGATGTTGGCTTTTGGGGAGCCAAGGTGTCTGTCCAGTATGACAATTTTAAGCTGGGTTCATGGTTGTGTGCCTGTAAATATTCTAAGCTGTGTGCTTCGAAGCTGTGTTTGTCCATGACTGTGTGTCCATGGGACTGTAAGCTGTACTTGGGCTGTGTGCCCCCTACTTTGTCCAGGACTGTGTGTCCAAGCGGCTGTGTGCAATGTCTTTGTAAAACAGGACTCTCCTTGGGGCTGTGTGCCATATTTCTGTAGGAGTGTTCCGGTTGAAGCTACCTAGGAGTTGATGTGAGTATTATCAAAATTAGATATAAACCGAGTTTGTTAGTAGATATATAATGTTTAGGATGTATACTAAGTAGATAAAATATATATTGTGTGTTTATTATCCAGTGTGGGTTAATATAAGAGTGTGTGTAGAATGTCTCTTGGAAGGGAAGATTATGTAGTGGTTATATTCTGTATATAAGTAACGGATAAGGTTATGATCCTGTGAACAGGAGCTTGGTATGTTAAATAATGTTAGATTGATTAAATAGACGTAAATATATGCACCCATACATCAATTTTTAGAAGTTTAGTGAAAAGGGGCTTGTGTGAACCAAGATATGAGAGGTAGTGAAGTGTGCAATGTGGAAATGAGAGGTATTTTCTGTATAATGTTTCTTTTGAAATTCAGTCCTGAAAATACAGTTTTTCGATTTGTCTGTTTCTTGACCTTTGACCTTAAAATTTTTCTGCCCCCAACTTTAACCTCTGACCTTAAAATTGTAATTGGCTATTCTTCAAGTTCTTACATCATTCTTGTATACATGTATACAAAACATGGTGTTTTTTCCACCTTGATTTAACAGCAGCCTTTCCTTAAATAAAATAAAGTAGTGTTTTATGAAAAATTGGGAAAATATTCTTGGATTCTGCATCAATTTGGGACCAAAAAAAATCACATTTTGGCTAGGGGAAACAACTTTTTTCAGCTGCAAAACAAGGCCAAAAAATTCTGATAATAAAAGCAAATTTTCAAAATCCAATATCAATGTTACTGATCCATTTATGCCAAGTTTCATAGCAACTGACAAATGGTTTATGAGAGAAGATGTTACAGGTTGATAAAGTGGAACGAGAGGCCTAGTGGCCTTGATGGTCACCTAAGATGAGCAATAAAGGTTAAAGGATAGTTATCAAGTGTCATAAAAGAGGAAACTGTGACACGGATTATAGACAAGTGTCAATACATGCATTCCATCAAAACTGTCATCATACATTGATTATTCTTATATAGTTATTTCCAGGTTATTTTCGCGGTGTGGCCATGGTGATATTTTTGTTCATTAGATCGCCCCATCATTAAGGTTTTAATTTAAATTTGAAAAATAAATCCTTGTTAAAATTGGTCTTGTCATATTGGAGTGGACAATGTGGGGTTTCATTTTTTTCAGAGACGGGTTTTTAGAAACAAATTTCTTCTATAAAGTTGTAGTGTTAGGTTGGAATTAGTAGTATTTTTGCATTTTTAGCATTTTTTCAGTAGGTAACCATGACAATCACATGCACAGACAACCCCTACCCCTGCAACAGACACCACACAGAAATCTAGCACAGCTGCAGCATTTAAACAAATGATAGACATACTGTAAAATCAGAAAATATCATTAGGGATTTAATTTTTTTTGATATGTGAAGTGAAATCATCAAGGAAATTTTTAAACATGTGGATTATACCTTTTCAGGCAAACACCAGGATCCCTGCATCTCTTCTAACCCATTCATTTGGGAGGTAGTCAGTCGGTTTCCTTGCATGTGCTGGAATTATAACAGGTACTCCTCTTCTGGTCTGAAAAGAGGGAACTTTTTTTTATTCAGTAACCACTGAATGAGGCTTTCACCAACAAACATTTTCCTAATATTGTATTAAGTAAAATAAATAGTAAATATTTAATCAGACATCACATTCAAACATACTACATTTTGCAGTCATTAACTTGTGTTGTATACAAGGTATGTAAAGATTTGGGAAAAAAGTATGTGTTCCATGAACCCTCGAGGTCACTGGCATTGAACATGTTGCTGTTTTTTTAAATTCTGATGTATTTATAATATTTATTTTAGCATCGTGACGGCATTCGTCACGCAACAACTTGCATTGTCATACTATAAATTTGTTGGTTGCCAAAGACGCTGTCTGGACAATTATGTAATCAAACATCCACTGAAAACTATATGCACAGGCCTTCTTATTAGTGTGGTACTGTAGTTTCAGTTTGGTGTAATGCTTTGTGCCTAATGAAAGGTTTAACCAATGCACCATTCATTCCAACAATTCAGATATAACAAATTAAATACCTTTCCTCACACTGTGATAACCACCTGGTCCTCTAACAGTTTCCTTTCAAATGCTGTACAACCTCCAATCAAATGCTTGACATCTTCCCCCTCTTGTCACTCGTTGTAGTCTGTCAATCTGTAAATGGTTTAAAGGGATATTTTGCACATTTTCTGGCTGCATTCTATTTAATGACTACTGAAACTATTGCATCTAAACACCTTTACATAAAACTGTCCTGACACTATCAAAGCTACATGAACATGAAGAAATCAACCTAGTTAGATTTATATGGGATTTCTTTCATTCTAATATTGTATGTCATTTGTATATGGAAATTGAGCACAATTTTCATTAAAACATATATACATGCTATAAGTTATTTTGAAAAGAAGCAATGTAATTTGTGCAAAATATCCCTCCAAATTAGTTTGCTCTGCAAACTGTTAATTTATTATTTTTTTTATTAGGTTTTGTTTTTCTTAAACTATGTACATATTTACAGATATAAAAGAAAATTGTTAGTAACAAATACACATCTACACACGTACTGCAAAAATCAAAACAATATTTAATAGCAAAAGAAAAATCTAAACTTTTGATACATACTGAAAAGAAGAATTTGCATGAAATAATTTTTTTTTTTGTAATTAATTTTTTGACAAGTTTTTACATATTACACAATACACAATATACAAGAGAATCCACACAAAAACATACACACACACTCTCACACTTGTGTGCTCTTACTTGAATATGTCTTACACATATACATGCATCACCATCATCATCATCTCCATCATCATGCACATGTATCTACTACTTACTGCACACAAACTCACTCATCAACAACAATCACACCAACTTACACTCACATAGCAAACTTACATGTACTTAACAAAATACTCACACATACAAATACAATTTTTTTTTTTTTTTTTGGTAATTCTTTTATTTTTTGACAAGGTTTTTACATATTACACAATATACAAGAGAATCCACACAAAAACATACACACACACTCTCACACTTGTGTGCTCTTACTTGAATATGTCTTACACATATACATGCATCATCTTCATCATCATATCATCATCATCATCATGCACATGTATCTACTACTTACTGCACACAAACTCACTCATCAACATTCACAACCACTTAACAAAATACTCACACACATACAATATCATATCACTTACACTTATCAAAGATATTTCCTCATACACATATACTCACTCATTAATATGTAATAATATATAATTATACATCATAAACAAAAAGAGAGAGAGAAAGAATCTGGAGGGTTATAGTCATTATTAAATAAAAATAGCACTAATTTTGTGAAAATTAAATAAATTTAAAGTCAGTTTGGTAAAGTCAAGGCCATGGCCATTGGGAACAGACTTGTTAGCAAACATACTATAGTTCTAAAGTGGGCATCCATTTTTTCCAATTCTCAAAATTTGTTTTCATAATAATGTTTTTGCTAGAAATGTTGTACTTTTGAACATGGAAATTATCTTTAATCTTATTTATAAGTGCATTTAAATTAAGAGATTTTTGTAGACATCCTGACATATAAACAGTGTTATTTTCTTATTCCTGATTAAAAGCATTAAAAAATTATTTGAATATACAAAAATATGCTAAAATTTGTTCCTTTTTATTAAAAGTAAGATAAATTTACAGAAAAACAAACAATACTACAGCTATTCATGTCTGGATGGTTGATCAAGCCAAGACAGACACAAAACAACACTTATATTTATAGGTGATCAGTCTATAAACATAAATGCCAACTATAAAAAAAAAAGTAATGTATTTAAAAAAAATTACTAGCCTAACTTTTAACTGAAGAGACTTACTAGAAGATTCCATTTAAGAAAGAAAAAATCTTGTTGACAACATTCAATACTAAATTACGGCCCAAAAACGAATTGAATTGCTATTCAAAATAACTTGCAATTTAGTGAGCACAAACTTGAATAACACACTCAGACTCTACTTTCATATCATATAACATATATATATACCATTGCATAGTCACATAGGAAAACTCTAAAAATGATAAAATTCAATAATAATTATATGCAATCTGCAGATGTGTTTTTAAGCGAGTGTCTCCTTCAATGATAAAAGGTAGTTACACGCTTCAAGATATCTCAAGTTAATAATGTTGGAATTCAGTCACATTATCACATATTCCATGAGATCATTATATTTCTCATATTATGCCTAGATACCATTATGTTCTGTTTATACTGAAAACAACACATACTCAATTATAAGAACTTAGCTCATTTTCCTCTCTTGCTTACTTATGATACAATATACTCATTCGAAATAGTTCTACCAATACAGATATATAGTTCCTTTATTGTTCATGGTTCCACCAATATATAAAGTAAGTTGCACCTATACAATGGTACCACTATTACTCTATAGTTCCTGTATGGTTTCACCAATACACGTATAGTTCCTGTATGATTTCACCAATACATGTATACTTCCTGTATGATTTCACCAATACACGTATAGTTCCTGTATGGTTTTACCAATACACAGTTCCTCTATAGTTTAGCTAATACAGTTTCTGTATGGTTTCACAAATCTTTTATATAGTTTTGCATAGTGTTCCTTCTATAATGTCAGCAGTGTACTTTTAAGGTTCCTGTTGAAGTCGTCCTCTTCCCAGTTTCTTCTACTATTATTAAGTTAGATGCAGTTACATCGATATAGTCCTGTTTAAGTTGATGTGAAGTTATATCCTTAAGTCTGCATTCCACTAGAAAGTTGTTGCCATGAAATTTTACACTTTTCTTCAAATAGTACTATATTTGGGATTCCGGTCGGACTGAAGCTTATCATTGAGACATGGTTTTCTGGATCTGTTCAGCTTCTTTGTATATGTCATAAGATACAACCATAGTGCTACAATTGTTTCATAACAGACTCATGTGACCTTAGCTTATTTCCTAATTCCTAAATCCTAACATAACTATTACCTGTTGAGATTTTTTTTAAACATAATTTGATTATTCTTTAAAAACCAAATTTTTTTTCCCTAATCTTCAAATGCTAAAAAATCCTTTTTAATGCCTATGACTAAAAACTTAAAAACAAACACCATACTGTGTTGTCTACTAGCAGTTTAAGAACACGAAATTTGTTACCTGTTCCGCTAGCTTTTTCGCAAACACTCTAATATGATGTTTCCTAACATAATTTCCTAAAACGCTAAAAATATCAAGATATCCTATGTATTATCGCCTATACTGTAATAACATTAATACAAATATACACATGGTGTATGGCCATTACACTCATATGTAGCACTAATCTACATGATATTACACTATAAGCAATTTAACAAAAAATTTTCAAGACTTTTAGAATTTAGCAACTTATTGTCTATAAAATTTTAATTCTAACAATTTCCCCTATAGTTCATAAACTTGTTTTGCATCCTGCCACAATTCAGGTATATCAGTTACTGCTTTGTTAAATGTCGGCATTGAATCGAGGGCATTACCAACAGCAAAGTCTGCCATCTGAATATCTCTGGTCCACACAGGTCATTGTCCTGGAAACTGTAGTAGAAATGTGCCGTCTCCATCTTTGGCTGTCTCCAGTAGCTTGGCTTTTTAAGCCGCTGTTTATTTTGATAAGTCCTACGTCTCCTCTTTGAACATTTCTTCCTTCCTGCTAGTTCAGCATGTTGCCTAGTGATAAATTCCAGTAAAAATGTCGGTCCAACCCCACACAAAATCCCTCTTGTTCACTCATGTTTTAATGAAATCCATGGCGATTCTGTTTCCGAATACTGAACCTTGCAGTAATAATATGTTATATTGGTTTGAAAAAGCAATCTTGTTGTACAGTCCGCTTCCTTTAATGTTCCAGTATTAGGACATTTCTTGTCAGGATTCAGAAAGTATATGTCCTTTGGTGGACGACCTTGATGAATAGGCACAACTATGGCAGCATCCTTATCTTCCTTCTCTTGTTCATTAAAGAATTTGTTTTTGTAGAGGACATTTCCATTTCTTGCCAGCCATATTCTTGGTATCATGAAACTGGCGTCTGAGCTCCTCTGGAACCATGTTTTGGAAAAGCCATACGTTCGGTACATCTCTGTCCTTATACTGGACATAATAATATAGAAAGTCCTTACTACGCTTTGCTGACAAAATCTTGGAAATGATCCTCTTTTCCTTGCGGTGTGCTATATCCTGACTTTTCTGAATATCTTCCTAACTTTGAGTCTCTGGTGTATCTTGACGATGAAGAGTATTGTTCATTTCTGCTTGAGGTGTACTGTCTGTTTGAGTCCTCTCTTGAAACTCTAATGGTTGTGTACCCTGTAGTATATTTTTATCCTCTTCATCTTGTATGTTCCGATCATCCATTTCTTCAGCATCAAGTTCTGCTTCTTCTATATCATCTTCATGTAATTCAGGTGGATCAATGTCTCTTTTCAGGATCATAATCTGTTAGCATGGATTAGTGACCGTACATCTTTTTTTGTCGCTACATCCTCTGAGCTTGAATGTATCCTTTGGTCCTTTACGGATAATATTGTAAGGTCCAAACCATTTCCTTTGTTACCTGGGAGCTGTACCAACAGGAACTTGAGCACAGTATAACCAAACTTGTCTCCAACTACAAACTCGGCGGGTTTTGCAGGTTTGTCATATTGCATCTTGTACTTTTCCTGTGCTATTTTCATATTGTCCTTTGCTAATTTCCTTGTTAGGTCTAGATTCAGAAATTTTGTGGTAGGGTTGGTTTTGGGATAAGACTTTAATCAATTGGCATTCTCATTTCTTGTCCATATAGTATATAGTACGGAGAATGTAACGTTGACCGAGTCACTGGTGTCATGCGATAGGCCATCATCATTGCTGGTAACACATCAGGCTGTGTGTCCTGCTTCTCATTGCAATGTATTCTCAATTGTAGAATAACAGTTCATTCTCTCGCAGGCCGAGTTTGTCTGTGGGTGATTTGAGCTCGTAAAGACTCTTTGTTTGAAACATTTCCGATCCAAAACTAAGGTTTGTGGTGCACCATAACGAGTGAAAATTTCTCTAAACAAAACATGGGCAATTTCATTTGCAGATTGTGTTTTCAGT